GAGAGGGAATGATGGGAATCAAGATGACCCCACATGTACCACGTCAAGAGATCCATTACACATTCCAGGAGGTCCAATCACGAGAGCTAGAGTTAGGAAGATGCAAAAAGCTTTAAATGATCTTATTGAGCAAATCTGGGTTGATAGCAACATGCAACAAGTAAATCAAAGCTTGGATGATTATCAAGGCATGGTAAACATCATTCAGATTCATAAGAAGCTTAATTGAGGTCATTTATTCTAAATTACACAGTTTGCATCAAAATCCCGCAATTCTATCACGATTTGTAACAAATTGATATTTCATGTTACTTTAGGTTACTTTCAGTGATTTTCACATTTTTTTGTATTATTTTGGGCTGAACATTCATTTAGTTGAGGTCCAATTTGTGGTTATTGAGATTAGGACTTAGGGTGCTAGTGCTAGTTTCTTATTCTGATTAGAACTACTTTTCCTTATTTAAAGGGCTTGTAACCCTAATTGGGGGGAGCGATTGAATTTGAGTTTTTGAGAAACTTTTCTCTTTGGTTCGTTTTAGAACTTTACAAAACTTATCAAGATTATTCTTGTGGCATTCTAACCTGACTTATCATTTTCATTCTTAATTGTTCGAGGGTGTGGCATTAACCAACTTTATACCTCTGGTTCTTGTTGTGTCATAGACAACAGGTCAAGGACTTTACCTTCAGTTCTTGTTGCGACATAAACAATGAGTCAAGGTCATATTATAAACCTGATTTGACTTTCCTGGAGTTTTAGAAATCCTTTCTCATGCTGTGGGTCTTATTATGCTCTTTGGAGTTCTCATCATCCACCCTATACTCCTCTGTATTGCCAAGATAGCTACCAAATCTCCTAATCCACCCCTCATTTGAGGCCAATCATCTAAGAACTGGAATAACAAAAGACGAAATTAGTGAAGGGAAAGAGAAACAGAAGAAAGAGGAAAGAAAGGAAAGGAAAATTTGAAGAAAGAGATGAGGGTAGTTTTGTAAATTTGTTTTGAATTTAATGTTTTAATTAGGTAATGGACCTTGATTTATATATAGAAGGTTAAAATAGACCATTCAATTTTCCACATCATTCATAAAATTTACAAAATAAATATTTTAATTTTAAAAGGTATCATCTCATGTCTTTGAATATCCATGTCAACTATCAAAATTAAAGAATATAAATTATTTGACAAAAAAGTTGTCCATGTCAGCATTTAACTGATGGAAGAACAAATTTGGTACGAAAAAAATCAAGTTTAAGGTGGTATTTTTTAAAGTTCAAGGACATTTTTGTACAAAACTGAAAGTTGAGGGATCAAATTGATATTTTAACTTGTAATTTATGTAAATCCATAAAAAAAACACGTTCTACCCATTTAAATGTCAATAAAATCAAAGCTAAAACAAGCAATTAAAACATATAAAATGCATTTCATCAGTGGGTACAAATTGACTTTACAAAACCTTTTGAGCCATCTTATATGTTAGGTAAGGTTGGGCACTGTTTGGTCTTGGAGCAATGGAAAGCAAATTATTAGTTAATTAAATTTTTAGTTATTGAGTTTTAGAAATTATTAACTAAATTGAAAAGTTTGCTTTTACCGGTTTTGGTTAATTTTTTTAAAGATAACCATTTGGTTTGGTTCAATTTTAACCAAAAAATTATTCTAAAACTCTTCATGATTTCTTTTAATTTCTTAATTGTTATTTTATTAATAATTTCAATCATTAAAACAATAAAAATTGTCTAAATAAATAAATAATTTGGTAGAAAATGGTGAGAAAACCTTAAAAAATCTAAAAATATTAAAAAATTTATATAAAATGTTTTTAGATCAGATTTTTCAATTCTATTCATTTCACTCTTTAGTTTTTCAATTTTTAAATTTACCAATAAAAAACCAAACCGTTTGAGGTTAATTCAATTTGAATTCTAGTAAAAAAAACTAAAAAAACTAAAAAACCAATCAAATCCCATCCATCGATTATGGTTAAGTTGCAATCAGGTTCGAACAAGTTTTTGGTTGTGGTCAATTCCCCTTACCCACTATTAGGGCTTGCTATTGCTTGGTGGATGTAAAGATAAACATCATCATTTACTATAAGAATAATGTTGTGGCATGTGAGTTCTGCAAGGTGGTTGAAAAAGCAAATTTCAACCTTTGAAATTTGGTTGCATGGGAAATTGCATGGTAGCCCAACTTTGTTGAAAAATTGGAAGTCTCATGGCAGCCTTTGAATGGAAATTTGGTTGCTACAACTTTGTCCATGCAATATTTATTGTGCATGGTTGGATGATGACTTTGGAGCCCATTGCATTCATTGTGGGTGGTTGGCATTTGGCTATAAAAGGCCATTTGGCCATTCGGCAAAGACACCAAAAAGAAGAGCAATCCAAAGCAAAGTGAGCTCTAGAAAATACAAGAGTTTTGTGAGTGCTTTGGGTGAGGGTGAGCAAGAGCAGAGTGGTTAAAATTACTTTGCTGAGTGTTTTTTGAGTGTGTCTCGCATTCAAAAATACTGTGAGTAAGATTTGGGTGTAATTGGGGATTGGGTATTTTTCTGAGAGTACCACAAATTATATCTCCCTATTTTAATAGTGAATTTTTCCTTGTGAGTGCCCGTGAATGTAGGCTCAATTAAATTAGAGCTGAACCATGTAAATTCTATCTTTCTTGTGGTGGTGCATTTTTTTATTCCATTAATTTCTTAATCTTGTAGTAGGTTAACCAAAATCTCAAGCAACTTGTTCCAACAAACTGGTATCAGAGCTACGACAGTGGTTAGTGCTTGAGAAATTGGTTTAATCGTGATGGCATCCAGAGCCAAGTACAAGATTGAGAAATTTAATGGTGGCAAAAATTTCAACTTATGGAGGTTGAAGATGCGGGCCATGCTAGTACAGTAGGGGCTGTGGAAAGCACTAGAAAGGGAAGCCAGGCTACCGGAAACTCTACCAGAGGAAGAGAAGATAGACTTGAAGGAGCGGGCGCTGAGTGCAATTCAGCTCTCACTTTCTGACGAAGTCTTAGGGGAGGTTGCAGAAGAAAATTCAGCATCTGCATTATGGTTGAAGTTGGAAGCCCTTTACTTAACCAAATCAGTCACTAATCGATTATATTTGAAGAAACGGTTGTTCACCCTCAGTATGAATGAAGGTGGTTCCATCAAAGACCATCTTGATGAATTCAACAAGCTCATTTTAGACTTGAAGAATATCGATGTGAAGATAGAAGATGAAGACTAGGCAATTATTGTTTTGTGCTCATTGCTTGACTCTTATGACAACTTTGTTGAAACTCATCTTCATAGTAGAGATCAACTCTCTATGGAAGATGTCAAGGTGGCACTGAATTCAAGAGAATTGAAGAAGAAGGTGTCCGGAGACAAGAGTGGTGATCAAGCAGCAGGATTGGTCATAAGAGGTAGACAAAATAACAGAACTTTCAACAAGCGAGGAAAGTCTCGATCCAAATCGAGAGCCAAGCATGCTCGATGTTACGAGTGTAATGAGACGGGACATTTCAAGAAAAATTGTCCCAAGCTCAAGGAGAAGAAAGCTGAAAAATCTAGTGATGCCAACATTGCCAGTTGCAGTGATAATTTAGATGATGGAGATTGTGTTCTAGCTGCCTCTACAAACTCCTCCGGTGAGGAATGGATTTTAGATTCGGGTTGTTCATTCCATGTATGCCCACGACATGATTGGTTTGAAACATATAAACCAGCCACTGGCACGGTGGTTCTTGGTGATGATACAGCATTGCCTATTGTTGGAATTGGCAACATTCGGATCAAGACGTATGATGGGATGGTCAGAACATTCGAGGTTCGTCATGTGCCGGGTTTGAAGAAAAATCTCATTTCCATGAGTGAGCTTGACTCCAAAGGCTGCCGATACTCCTATGAAGGTGGAATTCTTAAAGTCTCTAAAGGAGCTCTTGTAATATTGAAGGGGAAGAAAGTTGGTGGTCTTTATCACTTACAAGGAAGCACAATCAATGGCACATGTGCTATGTCAACTTCAAGCCGTCCAGATAGAGATGTAACTCAGTTATGGCATATGCGACTTGGGCATATGAGTGAAAGAGGGATGATGGAGCTGAGCAAGCGAGGTCTTCTGTGTGGCCGAAAAATTGGAAAGCTAGACTTTTGTGAGCACTATGTTTATGGTAAGCAGTGCAGGTTGCAGTTTGGCAAAGGAGTTCATCAAACTCAAGGCACAGTTGATTACATTCACTCAGACTTGTGGGGTCCCTCACCTGTTGCATCAAAAGGTGGAGTTGTGTATATGTTGACCTTCATCGATGATTATTCAAGAAAGGTGTGGGTATACACCTTAAAGAGTAAGAGTGACGTGTTCCTCACCTTTAAGCAATGGAAGACGCTGATTGAGAAGCAGACTGGAAAACAAATCAAGCGTCTAAGAACAGATAATGGTCTGGAGTACTGTAGTGGTGAGTTTGATACTTTTTGCAAGAATAATGGAATTGTGAGACATCGCACTGTCAGGATGACACCATAGCAAAATGGTGTTGCAAAAAGGATGAATCGTACACTTTTGGAGAGGGCACGATGTATGCTCTCAAATGCTAGATTATCAAGGGACTTTTGGGCAGAAGCTGTCAATCATGCTAGCTATCTTGTAAATCGGTCTCCATCCACAGCAATTGGATTAAAGACTCCAAAAGAATTATGGTCAGGTTCTCCTGCTGATTATTCACAGTTGAGGATATTTGGTTGCCCTGTGTATGCTCATGTTAGGGATGGTAAACTTGAGCCAAGGGCAGTGAAGTGCGTATTTTTAGGGTACGCTTCCGGGGTAAAAGGCTATAGACTGTGGTGTGTTTAGAAGTCACCTCGGTTCCTCATGAGCAGAGATGTAACCTTTGATGAGTCTACTATGCTCCAAAAAGCAAAAGAGGAGTCTATAATTGCAAAGCCAAACCATGGAGTTAGCAAGCAGGTGGAGTTTGAAGCAACAACTCCAGAAAAGGCATTGTGGGATGATAGTATTGTCCAAGAGAATCTAGATGAGGTGCAAGATCCAGAGCTAACAGATACTCCAATGGAGGTGGAGGCACCTGAACAAACACAACAACGGTATAATATTGCTACTGGTAGATAGAGGAGGGAGACCAAACCACCTTAGAGATATGGCTATATAGATTATGTTGCCTATGCTCTATTAGTTACAGAACTAATGGAGGCTGAGGATCCCAACACTTATCGGGAAGCAATTACCAGTAAAGAATCTCCTTATTGGCTTGTTGCCATGACAAAGGAGATTGAGTCTCTACATAAGAACCAAACATGGAAGCTTGTGATGCCACCAAAGGGACAAAGAATTGTTGGATGCAAATGGGTCTTCAGGAGAAAAGAAGGAATCCCAGGGGTAGAGACACCCAGATTCAAGGCCAGATTGGTTGCGAAGGGTTTCACACAACGAGAGGGTATTGATTTCCATGAGGTATTCTCTCCTGTGGTGAAACACAGCTCTATTCGTGTTTTACTTGCCATGGTTACTTTATATGATCTTGAGTTGGAGCAGCTTGATGTAAAGACTGCTTTCCTACATGGTGAGTTGGAGGAACGGATATATATGTCTCAGCCAAAGGGATTCATAGTCTCAGGAAAAGAAGATCATGTTTGTTTGCTCTAGAAATCCTTATATGGATTGAAGCAGTCGCCTCGGCAGTGGTACAAACGATTTGACAACTTCATGGTTAAGAGTAGATTCACTCGGAGCAACTATGATAGTTGTGTCTACCATAAAAAGCTTGGAGATGGTTCTTGGGTTTACTTGCTGTTGTATGTTGATGACATGCTTATTGCTGCCAAAAGCATGTTAATCATTGATGATTTGAAGAAGCAGCTTAGTGGTGAGTTTGAAATGAAAGACTTGGGTGCAGCTAAGAAGATCTTAGGAATGGAGATTCACAGGGATCGCAAGGGAGGTAAATTGTTTCTCTCTCAAAAGAAGTACATTGAAAAAGTACTTGAGCGGTTTGGCTTACATGAAGCTAAGGCTGTGACTACTCCTTTGGGAGCACATTTTAAGCTTTCATCAAATTTGTCACCAGAAACAAAGGAGGAGAAGAAGTTTATGGCGCGTGTTCCTCATGCGAGTGCTGTTGGGAGCTTAATGTATGCTATGGTATGTACTCGTCCTGATATTTCACATGCAGTTAGTGTGGTTAGTCGGTATATGACTAATCCGAGTAAAGGACACTGGGAAGCTGTGAAGTGGATCCTCCAATATTTATGAGGCATGGTAGATGTTGGACTAGTCCATGATCGGAGTGCTAATCCAAGTGGAAATGTAGTCGGATTTGTCAACTCTGATTTTGCTGGCGATTTAGACAAAAGGAGATCAACTACAGGATATGTCTTTATTCTCTCAGGGTGTGCCATTAGTTGGAAAGCTACATTGCAATCAACAGTCGCCTTGTCAACAACTGAGGCAGAGTACATGGCAATTACTGAGGCAGTAAAGGAAGCATTATAGCTAAAGGGTTTAGTCAGTGATCTCGAGGTAGAACAAAATGAGATGATGGTGTTTTGTGATAGTCAAAGTGCCATTCACTTGACGAAGAACACCATGTACCACGAGAGAACCAAACATATTCAAGTTCGATATCACTTTGTTCGGGAGGTTATATCCAATGGAGATGTGCTCGTTGAAAAGATATCAATTGACGAGAATCCTACAGATATGATGACAAAGCCGGTAAGTGGAATCAAGTTCAAGCATTGCTTGGACTTGATTAGTGTCCAAAGTGCTTAATGCCCCTCGGGGCATTGTGGCATCAAGGGAATGAAGCTATTGGTCCTGAATCTTATTTTTCGAATGATCGCCAAGGTGGAGATTGTTGTGGCATGTGAGTTCTGCAAGGTGGTTGAAAAAGCAAATTTCAACCTTTGAAATTTGGTTGCATGGGAAATTGCATGGTAGCCCAACTTTG